TCTCCTTGGTAGGAGGGAAGGGCCAAATCTGATAGGTGGTAAAGAGGAGGCCCCATTCTGAACAGAAGATCTGGAATACAAATGGGAAGCGAGCATAATGCGTAGTCAAATCATGGAAGATTAGTAGAAATGCCATTAGGGTGTAGGTGACCCTTCCCTTCTAATATATTACCCACAATTATATATAAATAAATTGGTATACGTATAATAATAATGTATAAGTAATTATATATAGGGCCCCTATCCCGAGTGCATGTCACCATGTGCGAGTATGTATGTATGTATCACCAATTTCATTATTACTTTTTAAATATTGAATAAAAAATATATCATTAAATAGTTAATTAGAAGGAAAAAATGAAGAAAGAATATGAAATAATAAGATTAAAATATAATAAAAGCAAAAGCTGAAAATAAAATGATGATTTAAATTAACAAACAAAGGAAGGACAAAAAAAAAGCAAGCAAAATAAAAAGAATAAGAAAAAAGAGCTTTATTCTTTTAAATTAGTTTTTATAATTAAAAATATCACAATCCAAAGCAAATAAACTGTTTTACCGAAGGTTAAGTGTCAAATTTGAGAGATTAATGCACTTTGCTAAACCAGAACCTAAGCCTGATACACCCATTGCACCAATTTTGTTGTAACTTTTTAAATATTGAAGAAAAAAATATATCATTAAATAGTTAATTAGAAGGAAAAAATGAAGAAAGAATATGAAATAATAAATAAGATTAATTGATAATAAAAGCAAATTTTGAAAATAAAATGATGAGTTAATTAACAAACAAAGGAAGAACAAAAAAAAGCAAGCATAATAAAAAGAAAAAGAAAAAAGAGCTTTATTGTTTTAAATTAGTTTTTACAATTAAAAATATCTCAATCCAAAACAAATAAACTGTTTTACCGAAGTTTAATTGTCAAATTTGATAGATTAATGCACTTTGTTAAAGCACAACCTAAGTCTGATGCACCTTCATCACCAATTTCATTATTACTTTTTAAATATTGAATAAATAATATATCATTAAATAGTTAATTAGAAGGAAAAAATGAAGAAAAAATATGAAATAATATGATTAATTAATAGTAAAAGCAAAAGTTGAAAATAAAATGATGAGTTAAATTAACAAACAAAGAAAGAACAAAAAAAAAAGCAAGCACGATAAAAAGAAAAAGAGTTTTATTGTTTTAAATTAGTTTTTATAATTAAAAATATCACAATCCAAAGCAAATAAACTGTTTTTACCGAAGATCAAGTGTCAAATTTGAGAGATTAATGCACTTTGCTAAACCAGAACCTAAGCCTGATGCACCCATTGCACCAATTTTATTGTAACTTTTTAAATATTGAACAAAAAATATATCATTAAATAGTTAATTAGAAGGAAAAAATGAAGAAAAAATATGAAATAATAAGATAAATTAATTAATAACATAAGCAAAAGTTGAATATAAAATGATGAGTTAAATTAACAAACAAATAAAATACAAAAAAAAACAAGCACAATAAAAAGAAAAAGAAAAAAGAGCTTTATTGTTTTAAATTAGTTTTTTTTATTAAAAATATCACAATCCAAAACAAATAAAATGTTTTTACCGAAGATTAAGTGTCAAATTTGAGAGATTAATGCACTTTGCTAAACCAGAACCTAAGCATGATGCATCTTCATAGTCTATTTCATTCAAACTTTTTAAATATTGAAGAAAAAATATATAACTAAATAAACTAAGTTGCTATACAAATTTACAAAAAGCGAGTTTTATATATCATGGTTTTACATTTTATAAAATTAAAATTTTAAATAATTTTTCCGAATTTTTTTTCTCTTAATTCTTTTTTATTTAAAAAATTTTATTTTTTTTTTTGAAAATTAAAATATAAAATGCATTAGATTTTTAATCATAAATTATATTTTTCTAATATTTATCTAAAACCTTATTGGATAGATTAATTAATTAAAAAATAAATGATTGATACAGTTTTTTAAATATAAAAGCTCTTTTTTATTTATTAATTAGGCATTTCATTCTAGTTAATTAGAAGGAAAAATGAAGAAAAAATATGAAACAATAGGATTAATTAATAGTTAAAAAAAATAGTAAAGAATGAAAAAAAAAGAAATTACAATAAAAGAAAAAGGAAAATAAATTAAATGAGCTTTAATATTTATTTTAAATTAAATTTTATAATTAAAAATATTACAATCCAAAACTAATACTTTTATAAAGTGTAAGTTTTAATAGCAAAAAATGAAGAAAAAATATCAAATAATAAAAAATGATTAATAATTTATTAAAAATTGAAATGAAAATTAAGTTAAAATAGCTAAAAAATTATTGTTTTAATAAAAATCAATGAATAATGATGATAATTTCTTTTACAAAAATTATTTATTTAAATAAATTGAAAGTTAAATATATAAAAAATATTAATAATAATTAAAATAAAATTTATAAATAAATATACTTTAGATCAATATGGAGAACCTAATAAGATAAAAGTGAAGACCTTAAAAACTTTTTTTATTAATTTATATAAATTTATAGGATATTAATAAAAAAATAAATAATTACTTCTTCTAATTCTTCATAGTATTTAATCTACTATATCATTTATTTTTTTTTCAAAAATATTAAATATCAATTTATGAAATTTAATTAATTAATTATAAATGGATAAAATGAAGAAATAATATATAATAATTAATTTTCAAATATTAATATTTTAATTTTGTTTAATGAAGAGATATCACAGAAAAATTAATTTAAAATTGATTATTTAATCTTAATATTTGTATTTAAAACATATACTAAAATATAGTGGAAATTAGAGATGTCCAGTTAGTTAGTCAAATTAGAAAAAATTATAGTAATTAATTAATAAATGTTCTTAAATTTTATAAAAATAATGTTTATAGGTAGATTTATGTTTTAGCTCTATAATTATAGGAATATTTATAATATCTCTAATTATTCTCTAAAAATAAAAATAGATTAGAAATATGATTAATGGGTAATATTTCAGATTAAAATATAACTGGTATATAAAAGCTTGGCATTTATATAATTAAATAAGATATTATATAGCATTAAAAGTTTCAAATTATTTGATCGTTTTTGGAGAAACCGGTAGGATTGCTTAAGAGGAATTAATTTATTTAAGTAAATTTAATTTTTTTATTTTTTTTTAATAATATATTTACTTACAAAAATATGAATGATATTTATAAATATAAAATCTATCTATATCATATTAAATTATTCAAACATTTAATATTTATTCATCCTTTTTTCACCACTTATTTATCATCAGAATTATTTTTGAAAGATAACTAATCTTTTTGATTTAAGACACTTGCTTATTACTTTGAATTTTTATGATTATTTCAAACTCCTAAAAATTTTATAATAAATTTGTGTAAATTTTAAATAAATATCAAATAGAATAAACTTTTTAATTAAAAATTATTTCTTAAATTAATAAATAAAATAACATTAGTGGAATAAAAATATAAAAAAATAAAAATTTAATCAAATATATCAAATAAATTCAAAGAGCTTTTTTGTTTTAAATTCATTTTTATAGTTTAAAATATAACAATCCAAACAATTAAGCTGTTTTTACCTAAATTTAAGTGTCAAATTTGAGAGATTACTGCACTTTCCTAAAGCAGAACCTAAGCCTGATGCACCTTTATCACCAATTTAATAGCCACTTTTTAAATATTGAAGAAAAAATATAAATAGTTAATTAGAAGGAAAAAATGAAGAAAAAATATGAAATAATAAGATTAATTAATTAATAATAAAAGCAAAAGTTAAAAATAAAAGGATGAATTAAATTGAAAAAAAAAGAAAGAACAAACAAAAAAGCAAGCACAATAAAAAGAAAAAGAAAAAAGAGCTTTATTGTTTTAAATTAGATTTTTTTTATTAAAAATATCACAATCCAAAACAAATAAACTTTTTTTACTCAAGCTCAAGTATCAAATTTGAGAGATTAATGCACTTTGCTAAACCAGAACCTAAGCCTGATGCACCTTCATCACCAATATAGTTTCCACTTTTTAAATATTGAAGAGAAAATATATCATTAAATAGTTAGAATGAAAAAAATGAAGAAAAAATATGAAATAATAAGATTAATTAATTAATAATTAAAGCAAAAGTTTAAAATAAAAGGATGAATTAAATTGACAAACAAAGAACAAACAAAAAAGCAAGCACAATAAAAAGAAAAAAAAGCTTTATTGTTTTAAATTAGTTTTTTTTATTAAAAATATCATAATCCAAAACAAATAAACTGTTTTTACCCAAGGTTAAGTGTCAAATTTGAGAGATTAATGCACTTTGCTAAAGCAGAACCTAAGCCTGATGCACCTTGATCACCAATTTAAAAGCCACTTTTTAAATATTGAAGAAAAAATATATCATTAAATAATTAATTAGAAGGAAAAAATGAAGAAAAAATATGAAATAATAAGATTAATTAATTAATAATAAAAGTAAAAGTTAAAAATAAAAGGATGAATTAAATTGACAAACAAAGAAAGAACAAACAAAAAAGCAAGTACAATAAAAAGAAAAAGAAAAAAGAGCTTTATTGTTTTAAATTTATTTTTTTTATTAAAAATATCACAATCCAAAACAAATAAACTGTTTTTACTCAAGGTTAAGTGTCAAATTTGAGAGATTAATGCACTTTTCTAAACCAGAAACTAAGTCTAATGCACCTCCAATACCAATTTAGTTTTCACTTTTTAAATTTTGAAGAAAAAATATATTATTAAATATAAATGCCTATTTAATTTACAAAAGGCGAAATGTAATATATCTTAATAACATAATAAATACAGCTAAATAAGCTTAAAACAGCTTTATTTTTGAGTTTTTAGAAAGCTTTAAATTCGCAAAATATAAAATTTCAAATAATAGATACCGTATATTCTTATAACTTGTCATTTTTTTTGAAAAAAATAAATTTTGAAAATTTTAATTTCAACTAAAATTAAAAATTTAATATTATAACTCAAAAAACTATTATAAAAAATAAATAAATCAGGTAATTTAAAATTTTTAATTTTATTTAAAACAAAATAAAAAAGGACTTTAATGAATAAATCTTATAATTTTTTTTATTTGATTAATCTAGTTTATCGCTTATCCATGAATTAAATTCTTGAATCTCAGCATTCGCAAGAATTTAATTCATGGAAGTGCTATATTTTTAAAACTCACTCTATTTTTTTGATTTTCCCTCTTAAATAAAGAAAAATCAAATTAATCTATTTCTCTTCAATTTATCTTTTTTAGAGGTTTTTAATAGCCCACTTTAAGAAATTTTTCTTGGTTTAATTATATAAAATATCACAATCCAAAACAAATAAACTATTTTTACTTAAGTTATAGTGTAAAATTTGAGAGTTTAATGCACTTTGCTAAACCAGAACCTAAGCCTGATGCACCCATTGCACCAATTTTATTGCCACTTTTTAAATATTGAAGAAAAAGTATATCATTAAATATTTAATTAGAAGGAAAAATTGAAGAAAAAATATGAAATAATAAGATTTTTTTATAATATAAGCAAAAGTTGAAAATAAAATGATGAGTTAAATTAACAAATAAAGAAAGAAAAAAAAAGAAAGCACAATAAAAAGAAAAAGAAAAAAGAGCTATATTGTTTTAATTTAGTTTTTATAATTCAAAATATCAAAATCCAAATCAAATAAACTGTTTTTACCGAAGGTTAAGTGTCAAATTTGAGAGATTAATGCACTTTTCTAAACCAGAACCTAAGCCTGATGCACCCATTGCACTAATTTTATTGCCACTTTTTACATATTTAAGAAAAAATATATCATTAAATTGTTAAATAGAAGGAAAAAATGAAGAAAAAATATCAAATAATAAGGTTAATTAATAGTAAAAGTTAAAAATAAAATGATGAGTTAAATTAACAAACAAAGAAAGAACAAAAAAAAAGTAAGCACAATAAAAAGAAAAAGAAAAAAGAGCTTTATTGTTTTAAATTAGTTTTTATAATTAAAAATATAGTAATCAAAAACAAATAAACTGTTTTTACCGAAGGTTAAGTGTCAAATTTGAGAGATTAATGCACTTTGCTAAACCAGAACCTAAGCCTGATGCACCCATTGCACTAATTTTATTGCCACTTTTTAAATATTTAAGAAAAAATAAATCATTAATTAAATAGTTAAATAGAAGGAAAAAATGAAGAAAAAAATATAAAATAATAAGGTTAATTAATAGTAAAATTTAAAAATAAAATGATGAGTTAAATTAACAAACAAAGAAAGAACAAAAAAAAAGTAAGCACAATAAAAAGAAAAAGAAAAAAGAGCTTTATTGTTTTAAATTAGTTTTTTATAATTAAAAATATCACAATCCAAAACAAATGAACTGTTTTTACAAAAGTTAAAGACTCAAATTTGAGAGATTAATGCACTTTGCTAAAGCACAACCTAAGCCTGATGCACCTTCGTCACCAATTTCATTACCACTTTTTAAATATTCAAGAAAAAATATATCATTAAATAGTTAAATAGAAGGAAAAAATGAAGAAAAAATATCTAATAATAAGATTAATTAATAATAAAAGCTAAATTAACAAACAAAAAAAGAACAACAAAAAAAAACAAGCACAATAAATATAAAAAGAAAAAAGAGCTTTATTGTTTTAAATTAGTCTTTATAATTCAAAATATCACAATCAAAAACAAATAAACTGTTTTTACTTAAGGTTAAGTGTCAAATTTGAGAGATTAATGCACTTTTCTAAAGCAGAACCTAAACCTGATACACCTCCATCACCAATTTCATTTCCACTTTTTAAATATTGAAGAAAAAATATGAAATAAAAAGATTTATTTATAATAAAAACAAAAGTTGAAAATAAAATGATAAGTTAAATTAACAAATAAAGAAAGAACAAAAAAAAGTAAGCACAATAAAAAGAAAAAGAAAAAAGAGCTTTATTGTTTTAAATTAGTTTTTATAATTCAAAATATCACAATCCAAAACAAATAAACTGTTTTTACTCTAACTCAAGTATCAAATTTGAGAGATTAATGCACTTTGCTAAACCAGAACTTAAGCCTGATGCACCCATTACACCAATTTTACAGTAACTTTTTAAATATTTAAGAAAAAATATATCATTAAATAGATAATTAGAAGGAAAAGTTGAAGAAAAAATATGAAATTATAAGATTTATTTATAATAAAAGCAAAATTTGAAAATAAAATGATGAGTTAAATTAACAAATAAAGAAAGAACAAAAAAAAGCAAGCACAATAAAAAGAAAAAGAAAAAAATGCTTTATTGTTTTAAATTAGTTCTTATAATTCAAAATATCACAATCCAAAACAAATAAACTGTTTTTACCTAAGGTTAAGTGTCAAATTTGAGAGATTAATGCACTTTTCTAAAGCAAAACCTAAGCCTGATGCACCTTCATCACCAATTTTATTCTAACTTTTTAAATATTTAAGAAAAAATATATGATTAAATAGTTAATTAGAAGGAAAAAATGAAGAAAAAATATGAAATAATAAGATTAATTAATAATAAAAGCAAATGTTGAAAATAAAATGATGAGTTAAATTAACAAACGAAGGAAGAACAAAAAAAAGCAAGCACGATAAAAAGTAAAAGAGCTTTATTGTTTTAAATTAGTTTTTATAATTAAAAATATCATAATCCAAAACAAATAAACTGTTTTTACAAAAGGTTAAGTGTCAAATTTGAGAGATTAATGCACTTTGCTAAAGTAGAACCTAAGCCTGATGCATCTTCATCACCAATTTATTTTAAACTTTTTAAATATTGAAGAAAAAATATATCATTAATTAAAGTAAGTTGCCATACAAATTTATAAAAATCGAGTTTAAAATATGATGGTTTTACATTATAAAATTAAAATTTAAAATTTTTTTTCATCCTAGGGAATTCACTGCAAACTCATCTTTTTTGAAAAACGCCCATTTTTTTGGATATGATTATAATCAATCTAGAGTTGTTGATTTTTGAATTCATAAAATTTTTCAAAAAAAAAATGACATATTATAAAAATAATCGTTATCTATATTTTATTTCAAATTTTACATTTCATGAATTTAAAGCTTTCTAAAAACTCAAAAACAAAGCTGTTTTAAGCTAATTTATCTTTATTTATTATTTTATTAAGATATATTACATTTTGCTTTTTGTAAATTAAATAGGCTTTTCACTTTAGTTAATTAGAAGGAAAAAATGAAGAAAAAATATGAAATAATAAGATTAATTAATAATTAATAAAATTAACAAAGAGTGAAAAAAAAAGAAATCACAATAAAAAGAAAAAGGAAAATAAATCAAAGAAATTAAATGAGCTTTTATATTTATTTTAAATTAAATTTTATAATTAAAAATATTACAATCCAAAACTAATGCTTTTATTAAGTGTAAGTTTTAATAGCAAAAAATGAAGAAAAAATATCAAATAATAAGAAATGAATAATAAATAATAATTAAAAATTGAAATGAAAATTAGGTTAAAATAGATAAAAAAATTTTGTTTGAATAATGATCATAATTTTTTTTACAAAAATTATTTATTTAAATAAATTAAAAGTTAAATATATAAAGAATATTAATAATAATTAAAATAAAATTTATAAATAAAATATACCTCAGATCAATATGGAGAACCTAATGAGATAAAAATGAAGAGCTAACAAACTTTTTTTATTAATTTATATAAATTTATAGGATATAAATAAAAAAATTAATAATTACTTCTTCTAATTTTTTGTAGTATTTAATCTATTAAATCATTTTTTTTTTTAATTAATTATAAATGGATAAAAGAACAAATAAGATTTAATAATTAATTATCAAGTATTAATTTATTAATTTTGTTTAATGAAGAGATATCACAGAAAAATTAATTTAAAATTCATTATTTAATCATAATACTTGTATTTAAAACATATACTTAAAAATATAGTAAGAATTAGAAGATGGCCGTTAGTTAAATCTGAAATAATTCTAGTAATTAATTAATTAATAAATATTCTTAAATTTTATAAAAAGAATGTATATAAGTAGATTTTTTTGTTTTAGTTCTGTAATTAATTATAGGAATATTTATAATATCTCTAATTATTCTCTAATTGCATAAGTTTTTTTTTGCAAGCACATTTTATTTAGGTATATATATAGATTGCATCCACCAAATTAAATTTTTCAATGGCATTTGGCTAAAATATATTAAAATAATAAATCTATTTTAATTATTTATAATAATCAATATAAAAACAAATTTGGGTTTAGAAAATAAAATTAATAATAATAAATTTATTTAAAAAATAATTTATCTGAATATACAAACATAAATAGATATATATATATAATTCATCAATCATCTTAGTTTAAAAATGATATGACATAAGTATTTTGTAATAAATGTTACATTGAAAATATATTTAAGAGTTACTTAGTTGAATATATTTCATTATTTATATTTTTAAAGTAGTAAAACCAGCCAACAGTAAAGATTATCACAACAAATAATATTTGAATAACTACCAAAACTATACTAAGGATTTCATAGTAGTTATAAAGCAAAAGATTTTACTCTTAAAAGAAATTCAACAGATATTCAAACTATTTAGAGAGCTCTATTTTAAATTAAAATTACTTTATGGCAGGGATATTTTTATTATAGTTATTAAAGCCTTGTTAAAAGCTTTCGGCGTTTTAGCTAAAAGCAAAAGATAAATAATCTCTGTATACTCCTATAAAGTAAACTAAACCATTAATAAGACCTTGCTAAAAAGCTCCCTTTCCAACTGTGTTGCATTCATTGTATAGAAAATCTCCATTTTGATACTAACTGTATTTTTAAATAGTGTCGCAAGTATTTTGAGTAAAAAGGTTAATTAAGAAATCTTCAAAAATTTCTTAGTTGTGCTATTATTTTGAATTTACATTTTCTAAATTTTTTTTTATTAAATTAGGTAATTGATTCATCTAATCTGTGACTTAATTTATAATTTTTTGGTATTAAGATATTGAAAATGCTTATTTTTCAGGCATGAGGAACGCCATGGCAAGACCCTATCTCACTCTTAAAGAATTTAATACAGTAAAATAAGAAACGCAAGCAATATCTTTTTATAAAAAATAAAATTTAAATATGAGTTTTATTAAATAAATATTTTTTTTTACTATTAAAATTGAAAATGGCTCTCGAATTGTCAATAAATTTCTCTTCAATAAAATAATTTAATATCGGATGTATAATACATAAGCAAAATATTGCAGTCAAACCAAGTAGTAACTTTTTCAAAGAGTATTTCAACGATTAAGTCTTGCTGATATTGAATTTTTTTTCTTCGTATGTTTCAGTTTAATTCAAAATATTAGAAAATTTTGAGTCAAATTTAGAAAAATTCTACTTTTAATTAATTGAAAATTAGCTAATTTAATTTGCTAATTTATCTAAAATTTCTTTCAACTATTTTTTATCAAAAGTTGCAAAAAGTTTTAGAATTTGTTGCTATTTTTTTTTAGCAAAAATGTAACTTGGAATGATACTAATTAAAAAAGCCAAAGTCATAAAAGTAATCACATATAAATAAATGATGCTTAAGCTATGAATTTCTGAGAGCTAATTTTAATATTCTTCATTCATTTGAGAAAAAATAGATTGAACTTGTTCATTTAAATCTGGGTAGTTCATCTCATTTTATTTTTTGATTATTCCTTCAGGATCTTTATTAGAAACAAAGTAATAAATCCCATATATTTACAATAGAATTGAATAAATCATAGGCAAATCTTTTTATTTTGCTATTTGAGTGTTTTGATAAATATCTTAAATAATTGAACCTTTTTAAATTATATTAAAGACCTCAATCTCATTATTAGTGTTATTAAATAATTGTTTCATATAATCTTTACTAAGATTAATTCTTGACTGGTTTTATTCATTTAGAAGATCCATAAATTGCTAGTGTTGAGAAGAAGTAGTTGACAAAAAATTGTTTTAATTTAATAGAATTATATTGCGTTCAGAAAGGGAATAACTAATCTAAACATTTATCATATAAATCCAATTTATGTATTTGAAATTTTCTCTTTGATAAATTAAGTTCTCAATAAAAGTAAAGAATCCCAGCAGATTCATAGAAAGAGTGACTAAAATAGAAGCTATTCCCAAGATATTAATTACTTTCAGATATTTCATCTGCTTTCTTTTGTGGATATTTTCAAAAACTTACCTTTTTTTTTAAAAAATCGTTGAAATAATTATGAACAAAACATTAAATTGAATAAAAATTAAATTATTTTGTTTTGAGCAAAATCTATTTTTTGTTTTTGTCAAAAAATCAAATTAATTTACACATTTAAATTAATAATAATTTTATTTATTTAAAAAATTAAATGCTTAATGAATTAATTTTATTGTGAAAGAAAACATTTTTTTCTTTATGCCATAAAATAAAATAAAATAAAAGATATTTACATAGTTTAAAATGAGCTTTTTGATGATGAGGAGATAGATTAAATGTCTAAATTTTACTGAAGGATGTTTTCTTAGAAGTTTTTGTGCTTTAAATTACTTTTTTTGAATTTAAATTAACTCTTGGTTTATGCTTTTGTGGGAGTAGTTGACAAAACTAATTCACATTTACTGTTAGGTAAAGGTTCTTCACTCTATTGTTTTGAAAGATAATAATTTAAATTATTTAAATTTAAATTTCTGCTTTTATTTTCTTAATCCTAATTTAATTTTTACAGGTCAACATCGTAATTAAAGTGAAATTAGTTTATTTATTCTATCTGATGATGTCTTTGATTTTTATTGTGACTAAGGATAATTGTAGGTGATTCTAAGTTATTGTTACTCTAATTTGCTTATTATTCATGGAAGTAATTTATATTATTCTCTTTATTTATATTTTAGCATTCGTCAAACGATTCATCAACTTAAATATTCAGCTAATGAGTTTAGCTAGCAGCTGGAGTCATCGGCATGCACTCAAAATTATATCTAGGAGATACAGCGGTAATTATTGCTTTATTTCTTGTCATATCTGAGTCTATGATTTGCTTAATTAGTATTCCGTTCGATTTATATAAAGAATTGTAGTTCGTAGTTGAGCTGGTTAATTAATTTGTATAAGGAAATTTCTCATTTTAAAGGCTATTATACTTTGAAAGCTAAATTTAACTTCTAGTTTGCAATGTATTATCATCATAATGATCGCTGAAATTAAAATTTGTCAAACCAATTTAATTGTATTCTAAACAATCTAACTCTAATTCCAAAGAAATATTGCATATTTCCTTTATTTGTTATTAGTAGAATTTTAATAAATCAAACTTTTCTTTTAATGAGTTAAGAGGCTATATATTTTCTATGGCTAAGTAAATACCTGATTAAAATTAGCTCAATTCATTTTAAAAGTGAAGAGATACTGTAGCACTAAATATTTAAGCATGCTTCAAATAGTTTAAGAAATTCCAATCCTCCAAAGATTTTTCCTTTAAGAAATCTTAATTCGGTGATACGAAAACAGTTTAAAATTATTTGTTCTTTTCCTTTCGAGAAATTTAAATCAAATAATGAATTATTGGTATTATGCTCTCTGTTTTAATTAATTGTATTTATGAGTGATATACTTTTTCTTTTAAATATTTTTTGTAAAATAATTTGTTGGCAAGTTTAATCAGATTAGGATTTTAGTTATCTAATAATAAGTATATAGTTTCTTCATAGATAGGCTTTGCCCATAAAGTGAAACCAAAATCTTACGAGTCTAAGATTTAGCTTTGAATTTGCAGTTAAATTGGCACACAATATCCAGCTTAGTGTTTTGCTAAAAAGAGAGGCAAAGTCTAAATATCGCTGTAAGTTGGTAATAGTAATTATTGTAAAATTAATTGCTAATCTCTTTAATAATTACTTGAAGGAAGTACCTAAAAAATAGATTTATCTTAAATTTGCTACTTATTTAGATATCCAAAAGTTTTGACAAACGAGGTATTAACCTTTTTAATAGCGCCAAAAGATTAATCTAAAAGGGAAACGAATGCAAAACAGCTTGATTTATGATAGTATTCTTATCTTGCTAAATACTATGAAGAAGATCTGTTTGATTTTTAGTAGGAATTAATTAAATTCTACTTATAGAGCAAATAAAAATCAAAATTAATGCAAATATTTTTAAGAGCCTCGCTTTTGTGATTCTGTTTTAATTATAATTAGATCTTTGTCTCTAATTTGGTCCTTGAGTCCATATATTATTTTAGCAGTGTAAACATTTCATTAATTTTGATGAAATTCTTCATAAGCATTTTAATTACCGCTGAGTATAAATTCAAGCATTCACTATAAAGTAATTAAATCTTATTGATATCTTCTTCAAATTGCAATAAATTATACAATTTAAATTAATTTCTTCTACCTGCAAATCTATTTACATCATTATTTTTACTTTCAGCTTTTTTAAAGATCGTTTCAAGCTTTTGTTTGTCTTTGATTCCTAATAAAAGCCTTTTATTTGTCTTGACATTAAATATCTTTAGATAGGCAGTGCACTGATTATTATCAAATGTAGACAAAAAAGTCAAGTAAGAAAAATCTATTTCATTAAGTTTGTCCTTTTATTTTCTATTTGTTATTGTGTCCTCGTAAATATTTGCAATTACCATGACTTCCTGTTAATAATTTGCATCATCATTATTATTTAATTAATTTTCTGATTAAGTCTATTAATTAATTTAAACATACTTATATTATTAATTACTTTACTGATATTAATAAAAACAATAATTAAATGTAAGTTTTTGGGATAAATAGAGAAAATTTACTGTATTTGATTTAAGGCTGCTTTCTAGAGCTATAAACGGGACTTATTAAGAGAATATTATACTGGAATTTTGAGTTTTTTATGAAAATTTGATCTTTTGTCTAAGGTTATCCATTAACTATCTGCAAAATATGTCTACTTTTCTATTACTATCACCTAAAATGCATCGAAAAATAGCTGAATTTACTGAATTAAAATTAGACTCAGAACTACTTAAATTTATAAAGGTATACCATTCCAAGAAAACTACATTCCCAAGCTTATAGCTAATAGGAAAAGAAATGATTGCTATTAAGAAGAAAATATTTAATATTTTGGCATCTTAGCTACACATAAGCATAGATAAACAAGTGATTGTTCTGAAAAAAATAAGAATTATAGACCATCTGCATATATTTTTATTTTAATACGTATGGTTTCTCAAAAGTATAACTAATTTAAAGGTATTTATAATAATGGCAATAGCAGATGTAGCATAAATATTGCTAAAACAGCTCGCAACGCATAAAGCGCCAACAAAATAAAAGCATATTAGGTTAAATAATGAGTCACATTTCTGCAAAATATCTTAACTTTAGAAAGAGTAATCATAATCAACAGAAATAACTAATGATCCTATATTATATTAAAGAAGTTAATATTTTTGATAAAAATGGAAATGAAAATCAACCTATAAGCAAAGTTAAAAAAATATTAGCAATCGACAAATAAAATTGATATGTGGCTATAGAAAAGTAAAGAGATGGAATTGCAACCGTATATTAATAGTTCTAAAAAATATATGAAAGCAATGAATAAAACTAGCTTTTAGTTCTACTACCCATTACAAATAAGCAAAATAGAAGAGAAAGCAAAAGGAAGCAATTTATTGAGAAAAGCAAACGAATCTCCCAATTATTAGAATTATTTTATAAATTTGAAGTAATCATCCGCGCTTTTAAGAAAAATATTGATCTTAATATTTTAGAGAGTTATCTATCACTAGAAGCTAAATTAGAATAAGTGTTGTCATCAATTTAAAGCTGTATTATACTTAGCTACCAAAAACAAAAGCTAAATAAAGAAAAAATCATATTTCTTTTGCTTTCCTTTACAATCTAGTAAAAATCTTGAATGTAAAATAACTTCAATCTATCAGTCAAGGTAATCTTTGAGTCTTTATTCATTTTTTGCTTTTTTTATTTGATGAATACAAATTTGTTTGTTTCTTTATTTATTTTTAACTATTGTATAAAAATGGTGTTTTTAGCAAGTTTGAAATTAATTTGAATTATATTTAAATAATATCTCTTGTTCATCTTGTTATAGTTCCCAGTTAAAATAAGATATAGTAATAGTTAATAATTTATCATGTCATTAATTAACTAATAAAAACTGCTCTAAATAATAGAAATTAATAATTATTCTAAAAATAGTAAATCTATCTTTTAAATAGTATTAATAATTTGATCTCAATTAAATTTATAGCTAAATGCCTTAATAAAATCTAGTGAAGTTTCATCACTATTTTCTAGAAAGGACTTTATTTTTTGATAATTTTTTCTAGAATTAAAATATTTAAAAAAAATAGATTTTTATTTATAAAATTATACATTTAAATCAATTGAATACATTCAATTATTTATTGAATTTTTTTAATTTTAGCTTTTTAAAAAAATTTTTTTTTTCTAAATCCTGATTAAGTAATTTAATTATTTGAATTTTTTCAATATATGACTGACCACCCATCTATCTATCTCTGATTGTTGCTATATTTTTAAAATAAGTTTTAAATAAAATTATTAAGATTTAATTTAAATTTCCATAATTAATTTGCTTTTCAATCAATATTTTTGAGAAAAAAAAATAAATGATATAATAGAAAAAATATTTTGACAATCTTTAAGAAGTAAATATTTATTTTTTTTATTAATATATTTTAAATTTATTTTTATTAAAAAAATAGTTTTTAAACTCTTCACTATAATCTCATTAGGTCACCAATATTAATCTTAAGTAATAATTTATTAATATTGATATTATTAATATTAATTTTTTTTTTATAATTAATTTACAATATTATTTTTCTAATTGAAATTCTCATTTCTGTATTCATTCATTTTATTTGTACAAATATTTAAAAAATTATTATAATTAATTATTAGTTTTTTAAATTTGACATTTTTTCTTCATTTTCTCTTCAAAATAATTAATGAAATATATATTTTTTTTTATTTAAAAAGTAACCAATCAATTGGTGATGAAGGGGCATCAAGCTTAGGTTTTAGTTTAGGAAATTGCACTAATCTCTCATATTTGACACTCAATCTTTAGTAAAAACAGATTATTATTTTTTTTAACATTACTTTTATTATTAATTAATAAATTTATTTCTTATTATTTAATATTTTTCTTCATTTTTTCCAACTAACTAACTAACTGATTAACTCTTTATTTTCTCTCAAATATTTAAAAAGTGAAAACTAAATTGGAGCAATCGGTGCGTCAGACTTAAGTAATGGTTTAGGAAATTGCACTAATCTCTCAAATTTGGAACTTAATCTTAGGTATAAACAGTTTATTTGTTTTAGATTCTGATATCTTTTAATAAAAAAAATAATTTAAAATAATATTACTTTCTTTATTTGTTTTAAAACTTACTTTTTATTTTATTTATATATTTATTTTTATTAGACTAATTTTTTTTCATTTATTCTTAATTTATCATTTGTTTTTAACTTTTTATTTTTTTATTAATTGATTAATTTCTTATTATTCCATATTTTTTCTTCATTTTTTCCTTTTAACTAGCTAATTAACTCTTTATTTTTTCTCAAACATTTAATAAGTTCCAATTTATTTGGTGCAATTTGTGCTTCAGATTTAGGTTTTGCTTTAGGAAAGTGCTCTAATCTCTCAAATTTGACACTTGATCTTTCGTAAAAATAGTTTATTTTTTTTTGATAGTGGTATTTTCGAATATAAAAATGGATTTAAAGCAATATAACTAACTCTTTTAAATTATTTATTTATTTGATTTATTTTTCTTTTTTATTTATTCTGATTAATTAATATATAATGGGGGAATTTTAATGTCAGGGAGAGGAAGGAGAGGGGGAATGGGCCTATTATAATTTTTATTTCAAAATTGATTAATTTTCCTAGAGTCAAGCATTTCCCAATACTATTATTAAGAAAAATTAAGTTTTAACCATAAAAAAGCTACAATTTCTGAAGTGAAAAGAAATTATTCAAAGCAAAAAATTATGAATTAAAAAAGCATTCTATAAAACCAATAATAACTAACTTCAATTATCATTCATTTTCAATTTTTGCTTTTATTAAATCACTTTTTATTATTTCAGATTTTCTTAATTTTATATATTTTTTCTCAAATATTTAAAAAGTGAAAATTAAATTGGTGCAATTGGTGCATCAGGCTTAGCTTTTGGTTTAGGAAAGTGCACTAATCTCTCAAATTTGACACTTTCTCTTAGGTAAAAACAGTTTTTTTTGGCTGTGATATTTTTTAATATAAAAAAGAATTTTAAATAATTATGATATTCTTTTAATTTATTAATTTATTTATTTGCTTTTCATTTTATTTATTTTTCTTTTTTTTTATTCTTCTTGGATGATTTTTTCGTTTCATTAATTTAACCCATATTTCAATTTCAACATTATATTATTAATTAATTAATTTCTTATTATTAATTTTTCTTCATTTTTTCCTTTTAACTAACTAATTAACTATTTATTTTCTCTCAAATATTTAAAAAGCTACAATTAAATATGTGAAATTGGCGCATCAGGCTTAGGTTCCGGTTTAGGAAAGTGCACTAATCTCTCAGATTTGACACTACATCTTTCGTAAAAATAGTTTATTTGTTTTGGATTATGATATGTTTGTTTTTAATATAAGAATGAATTTAAAACAATATAATTAACTATTTTAATTTAATTTACTTATTAGCTTTCTGTTTATTTATTTAATTTTTTACTATTTTTTATTCTGCTTGTAATTTTTTTTCTTTATTTATTTATTTATTTATTAATTTAACTTATTTTTACATTTTCAGATTTTGATTTTATTCCTAATTTATTTATTTCTTATTTTATCATATTTTTTTTCTCATTAACTATATATTTTTTTGGAATATCTAAAGGTGTAATTATATTTGTGATGGAGGTACATTAGGCTTAGGTTCTGGTTTATAGAGTTGCACTAATATCTTAAACTTGACACTTGATCTTTCGTAAAAATAGTTTATCTGTTTTGGATTGTGTTATTTTTTAATATAATAATGAATTTAAAACATTATAACTAACTTATTTAGTTATTTATTTATTAGCTTTTATTTGATTTTCTTTTTTTATTTTTATCTATCTTTTTTAATTAAATTCCTCAATTCCTTTTCAGCTTTTTCTTCTATTATTATTAATTAATTAACTTCTTATTATTTTATATTTTTTCTTCATTTTTAACAATTAACTTTAAATTTTCCTTAAATATTTAATAAGTGAAAATAAAATTAGTTAAAGTGGTACATCGGGTTTATGTTCTAGTTTAGGAAATTTCACTAATCTCTTAAATTTGAAACTTAATCTTTCGTAAAAAAAAACTTATTTGTTTTGGATTGAGATATTTTCAAATATAAAAATGTATTTAAAACAATATAGCTAACTCTTTAATTCATTTATTTATAAGCTTTCTATTGATTTATTTTTTAAATATTCTTCTTGTGTTTTTTTTTCTTTAAGTAATTTATCTCATTTTTTCATTTTCAATTTTGCCTTTATTATTAATTACTTCACTTCAGATTATTTGTTCATTTTATTTTCTTCGAATAATTAATTAACTATTTATTTTTTCTCCAAAATTTTTATAGTAAAAATTAAATTTGTGCTATTGGTGCATAAAGCTTAAGTTCTTGTATAGGAAAGTTCGCTAATCTCTCAAATTTGACACTTTATCTTCAGTAAAAAGTTCATTTATTTTGTATTGTATTGTGATATTTTTTAATATAAAAATAAATTAAAAAAAATATAGAAACTTTTTAATTAATTAATTAATTTATTTATTTGCTTTTTCTTTGATTAATTTTTCATTTTTTTTATTCTTTTTGTGTTTTTTATTATTTTCATTAGTTTAACTCATTTTTTAATTTTCAATTTTTGCTTTTATTATTAATTAATTCATTTTTTATTATTTCCAATTTTTTTCCCTCCTAAAATGAATTAACTGTTTATTTTTTCTCCAATAATTAAAAAGAGAAAATCAAATTGGTGAAATTGGTGCATAAAACTTAGGTGACGGTTTAGGAAAGTTAGCTAATCTCTTAAATTTGACACTTCATCTTGAGTAAAAACAATTTATTTTTTTTGGATTGCTATATTTTTGAACATAAACATGAATATAAAACAATATTCTCTTAATTATTTATTTATTTATTAGTTAGTTTTCTATTTGATTCATTCTTCTTTTTTATATTTTAGTTGTGCTTTTTTTCCTTACTTTATTTTTTTGTTAATTTAACTCATATTTTCATTTGAAACTTTTAATTTTATTATAAATTTACCTAACTCATTATTTCAGATTTTTTTCTTAATACTTTTCCTTTTAATAATTAACTACTTATTTTTTTCCTGATATTTTAAAAGAGAAGATCAAATTGGAGCAATTGGTGCATCAGGCTTAGGTTCTGGTTTAGGAAAATGTACTAATCTCTCAAATTTGACACTTAGTCTAACGTAAAATAGTTTATTTATTTTAGATTGTGATATTTTTTAAACTAAAAATGTATTTAAAACAATATTACAAATCTTTTAGTTATTAATTTTACTATTTCTTTATCCTGCTTGTGATATTTTTTCTTTATTTGCAAATTTAACTCATCTTTTCATCTTACTATGAATTCATTTTTTATGATATCATATTTTTTTCTCACTAACTAACAATATATTATTTTTTTAATATTTAAAAAGGTCTAATCATATTAGTGATGAAGGTATATCACGCTTAGGTTCTGGTTTAGGAAAGTGCACTAATCTCTCAAATTTGACACTTAATATTAGGTAAAAACTGGTTATTTACTTGTTTTGGACTGTGATATTTTTTAATATAAAATTCAATTAAAAAAAATTAGATTAATCCTTTTAATTTATTTGTTAGCTAGTTAATTGATTTTTTTTTCTTCTTGTGTTTTTTTTCCTTAACTTATTTTAATAATTTTTTCATTTTTCAATTTTTTTTTGTTATTAATTAATTCACTTCTTATTATTTCAGTTTATTTCTTCATTTTTTCCATCTAATAGCCAATTAATTGACTATTTATTTTTTCTCAAAATATTTAAAAAGCAATAATTAAATTGGTGAAATTGGTGCTTCAGAATTAAGTACTGGTTTAGGAAATTTAACTAAACTCTCAAATTTGGTTCTTTTTCTTGAGTAAAAGCAGATTATTTGTTTTGGATTGTCATATTTTTGAATATAAAAATTAATTTAAAACAATAAAACTAACTCTTTTAATTTATTTATTAGCTATATATTTTATTTATTTTTCCTTTTTTTTATTCTGCTTGTGTTTTTTTCCTTTCTATGTTAATTTAACTAATTAATTTTTTCATTTTAATTAAACGTTTGTTTTTATTATTAATTAATTAATTTCTTACTAATTCCTATTTTGATGACTAATTAATTATTTTTGTCTCCAATATTTTAAAAGATATAATTAAATTGGCAAAATTGGTGCATCACAATTAGGTTATGGTTTAGGAAAATTAACTAATCTCTCAAATTTGGAACTTTATCTTGAGTAAAAGCAGTTTATTTATTTGTTATGGATTATGATAATTTTAAATATATAATTAAATTTAAAGCAGTAAAACTAACTAACTTTTTTAATTTTTTTATTTTATTTATTATTCTTTTTTTTTTATTCTTCTTGATATTTTTTTTTATTTCTTTCTTTATTTATTTGTTTGTTTGTTTTTTTGTTTATTTAATTATTTTTTTTATTAGCACCTTTTGATTTTATTATGAATTAATTCATTTCTTATTATTTCCTTTATCCTACTAACTATCTTATTCAGTATATATTTTGCTATAATATTTAAAAGTGGAAATTAAATTGGTGCAATTGGTGCATCAGGCTTAGGTTGTGGTTTAGGAAAGTCTACCTATCTCTCTAAATTGGTACTTAATATTTAGTAAAAAAAGTTTATTTCTTTATTTTTGATTATTAATTTAAAAAAATCTAATTCTTTTAATGTATTTATTAACTTTTGATTAGATTTATTTATTTTTTTTATTCTGTTTTGATTTATTTTATTTTTTTTTGTTTTGTTTTGTTTGTTTGTTAATTTAACTCATGTTTTCATTTTTAAATTTTTTTTTATTGTTGTGTTTTTTTATTTCTTTAATTTAACTGATTTATTTTTTAATTTTTAACTTTTGCTTTTATTTTCATTAATTAATTTCAATTCTTTTGTTCATTCTTCTCTCAAACTAATTTTTACTTCAATATTTAAAAGTTAAAATTTAATTGGTAATGAAGGAATATCAGGTTTAGGTTCTGGTTTAGGAAATTGCTCTAATCTCTCATCTTTGAAACTTAATCTTTGGTAAAAAGAGTTTATCTTTTTTTTTGGATTGTGTTTTTTTAATAAATATAACTTTTTTAATTTATTTATTACTTTTTTATTTGATTTATTTTTCTTTTTTTTATACTGCTTGTATTTTTTTTATTTCTTTGTTAATTAATTAAACTAATTAATTCATTTTCCAATTATACTTTTAATATTAATTAATATTTATATATATAAATATATCATATTTTATTTTCAATTTTTCCTCCTAACCAACTAATTAATAAAATGCTTTTATTAATATAAAAAGGGCCAATTAATTTGGATATGAAGGAGCATCAGGTTTTTTTAATGGTTTAGGAAATTGCATTAATCTCTTAAATTTAGAAATTGAACTTTGGTAAAAACAGTTTATTAATTTTGGATTGGAAAATTTTTTAAATTCTGTTTGTTATTTTTTTATTCTTTATTTGTTAATTAATTAAGCTCATTTTTTAATTTTTCAAATTTTGCTTTTATTATTAATTAATTAATTTCTTATTATTTCATATTTTTTTCTTCATTTTTCCTTCTAAATAACTAATTTTTTCTTTAATATTAAAAAAGTTACTAATAAATGGGCGAAACTGGTACATTAGGCTTAGGTTATGGCTTGAAAAAGTGCACTAATATCTCTAAATTGAAAATTTTTCTTATGTAAAAACAGATAATTTGTTTTGGTTAAATATGAAAATGAATTTAAAACAATTTAACTAACTCTTTTTAATTTATTAATTAGATTTCTTATAATATGGTTTGTTTTTCTTTTTATTTTTATTAAAAAATTTTTTTTAAGTTATTTAAAAAAAACATTTTATTTAAAAGCTGCTAAATTTCTTAAATTTTTTTAGTAATTAATTACACTTATTTATATTAAAAGTGGCAGTGAAATAGATAAAGCATAATAGCTTAAACTAAAGTGTCTTAAATCAAAAAGATTAGTTGTTTTTAATTTCTATTTTTGATAAGCTAGTGGTTAAAAAGGAAGAATATATATAAAAATATTAAAATAATATAATTCATATGTTTTATTTTATCATATTTTGTAATTGAATAATTTAATCTCTAATATAAATATATCTGCTCCTGCATTTTAACTATTAATAATGAATATTTTTTCTAAAAAATCTTAATTATTTATTTTCTTTATTTTTTTATCTGAGTAAAAGAAAATTAGGTAATTTTAATTTCAAAGCTTAAAAATTAGGGGTAAAATAATTTATTTTTGAGACAAAACAAATAAATAAATAAATAGATTTAAAAAGAAAAATTAACTTTTGAAATAAATAATTAAATAAACTGATTTTTGCATAAATTCGAAATAAAAATAAAACATGTTATTTTTTCTAAAATATTTAAAATAAACGCTTTAAGTGATTGTAAAAAATTTATTAATCTAACTAAAACTAAAGTTTTTTCTTACTTTTTCAGAAAATAAATAATTTTGGTCTTTAATTAATCATACATATAAAAACAAATGAATTAATTTATAGACGCTTTATTTTTTGTTAAATGCAAATCTGATAATAAATTCTTCTTTAATAATTAAATGAAAAAATATCGATAAATTTTTATATATTTTTACTTAGCATTAAATTCTTAATTGTAATACTAAAAGCAATACTTGTTATTTGTATTTTTCAAATAAAAAATATGTTTTATCAAATATAATAATTCAGTTAATTTAAACTTATGTGAAATATCTCAAAATAAATCAATTAAAATATCAATAATATTTTTTTATTTGTATTTTTTTTATTGTTTATTTATTTAATTATTTATTTATTCATAGACACTGCAAGGATAATCTATATTATTTTTAATTGAGTCATCAGAAATAAATAGAAATTTTTCTTTTTTGATATAAAATAAATAGATGCTTTAAATTACAAATGAAGTAAACAACTAATAATATCTTACCTTCAAATTAATTAGTTAAAAATATATTTTGTATTTTTGATTATTATGGGTTGCTGTTAAAATAAATGGTTGAAATTTGAATAATTATTAAATAAAATTAATTAGAAATATCTTCAAGATAAACAAATAAAATCAAAATGCGAGTTAATCAAAATCAATTTACAATAAAAAATAGAGAAACTCAATAAAAATAAGATTTAAAAATTGAGCCTTAATTAAATGAAAATAATGTCTATAGTAAAGATATTCTACCAAAATATGAAACAAATGCTATTGATCATGATATCTGTTTTATGTCGCTAAATAAACTATTAATGATTACAAAGATTATGCAATAGCAAAAAAAGTAAATAGAAAATGAAGATATAAAAGAATTTATAACTAAATCTACTTAAATTTAATTTACAATTGAATAATTAGAGCAATATAAAAAAAATAATCCATTAAAATTTTAAAAATCAAATAAATTTAAATTGATGCCAGTCTACTTTCATATGACTTATAAATACCTATTAATTGGTCTCTTTTTTAGCATCATACAGTTCTTTTTAGAATGCAGCTGCGTTTACATGCTAGATTTAATCACTGATAAGCTTAAATTATATTAAGGATAATATTCAGAAAAAAGAGATTTGTTTTTGTGTTTAATTGGAATTTCTCTATTTTATCTCTTAAAAAATATCTGCTACACTCGATTCTATTGGTATGAAGCAAAATGGTAATCTAAAGCATATGCAACGCTTTAATATTTAGTATTTACTAAATACCTTAAATCATAAGAGATTTCATCAGACTTTAACAATAATCAAGATATCTAAAAGGAATAAGAAATAGAAGAAACTCCTGATATCAATAACATAATGACTTCAGATATTGACTAACAAATGTATCTATATAGAACATTTATCCAGTCCATAGTAGGGATCGTGTCAGTTATAACAGCATTGATATTTATATATATCAAAATTGGAAAATACATGCTTAATGGACTCTATGTCTTGATAGCTGCGTTTATAATAAATTTTATTGCTGTCTAAATTCTTCATGTAAAATTTATTTATTTTTTTAAAGTAGATTTTTTAATTTAAAATTATTATTTTAGGTTTTCTATGGAAAATAATTTAAAACAAAAGATCAGAGAATATCTCTTTGTAATGATGTGATTGATGGGATTAAAAGTATTAAATTTTTAGGCTGGGAAAATATTTTTAAAAAAAAGATACAAAATATTCGCTCTAAAGAATTTAGTTATGTTTTATACACAAAGATCTTTGATTAAGTCTAAGTGACTATATTTACTATTTTAAGCTATTTGATGCTCTTCTTGTTTCTAACTAATTATGTAAATGATGGAGGCAGCTTATCAGATTCAAATATTTTTACTATTATAGCTTTATATGATATAATGAATATGCCACTTACTTATCTTCCATGGAATGTTGCTTCATTTTAAAAATTAATTGTTTCTTATAAGAGAATTAACACTTTTTTAAATCAAAAAGAAATTAATACTGAAAATGGTAATATTAAATTTACCTTTTTCAAATTAATAATTTTTTTATTATAAAGTTATCAATGAAGAATTTCATCATTTAGATAAAAATAATGACAAAGATTTTTTGATTTAATCAAATTAAACTCCAAAAATTGCTGTTCAAATTAAAGATATGAAATTTGTATGGCCAGAATAAGAATGTGGTATGACATTTTTTATGTTCGAAATTTAATTGAAAATATGTTAAAATTTCATTCTAAATCGAAAATTAAAAAAAAAATTAGGAGCGAATTCGAATAAGCCTTGCATAAGAAAATTTGAGTTAAACATATCTGAATTGAAAGCTAACAAAGGAGAGTTAGTTGTGATTATTGGCAAAATAGGTAAAAATTATTTTTTAAATTCAATTTCGAATTAAATAAAACAAATAAAAAAGTTCATAAAAATATATCTCATTAATAAAAAAGGATCAGGAAAATCTGCTCTTTTGAAAGCAATTTTGAATGAATTAAGTGGGACTAATCTGTAATCTGGATAAGGTTCATAAAACAAAAATAACAAAATAGTTCTTAATGGAAAAAGGGCTTTTGTACCTTAAAATCATTGGTTGCAAAACAAAACTATAAAAGAGAATATATTGTTTGGGAGTGAATATGAACCTGAACGGTATGAAGAATGCATAGAAGCATGTGATTTGAAAACGGATTTTAATTGCTTTAATTAGAAAGATGAGAAGCTAGTTGGACCAGGAGGTGCTAATTTAAGTGGTGGATAAAGATAGAGAGTTGCTATTTGCAGAGCTTTGTATCAGAACAGAGACATTTATTTACTTGATGATATTTTTAGCAGTTTAGATGTTCATGTAGCACACAAAGTATTTTAATCTGTTGTTATGAATGTTTTAGTTAAAAAGTATAAGAAAACTGTGTTTTTAGTAACAAGCCATTTTAGCATTCTTTCACAAAGATAAAATATTAACCAAATTCTTTATCTTGAAAATGGATCTTTGATAAAAGATAGTCTTGACATTGAAAAATTTATTTAAAATGGCTTAAATAGAGAATAAGAAGAGCAAAAAGTTATCCAATCTAATATTTCAAATGAAATTTAACTTAAAAAAGGAGCTTCTCAAGAAACCTAAAAATAAGAATTAGAAGATATTTCAATTAACATAAATTAAATATCAATTTTAAAAAATGAAGTAAAAAAAAAATATTAAAAATTTCTATTTTTAGTTTATTTTATTATTTTTATTATTTTAAGGTAAAAGAAAATGAAACAAGTTATCAATAAGAGCAGATAAGCTAATAAGATAACCAAAGTGGCATTTTAATTTTAAAAAATGAGCCAGAAAATACTCTAAATGAATAAGTAAGTGAAGAGATAAAAGAATAAAGTGTTTAAAATGAAAACTAAGAAGAAAGAGAAACTGGAAATGTCAAGCTAAAAACTTTTAGAGTTTATTTTAAATCTATTGGAACGATTTTGTTAATAATTTTACTGATTTTGAACTATTTAATGTCTGGAACATAAATGCTAATTGATTTTTGGCTGAGAGATTGTATATCGCCATCAATTCCATTCTATTAATCTATTAATGAAATTTTCAACTCGTTCTTTAATACTTTTCTCTTTTTTATTATGCTCAATATTCTTGTTAATGTTTTTAGAGCTTTAATTTATAGTGTCAGCTCTCTAAAAGGAAGCAAAAGGCTGTTTAAGCAATTAAACAAAAGCATTATTTACAGTAAAATGAGTTTTTTTGATAAAAATCCTGTTGGAAGAATCATCAACAGACTTTCTGATGATGTTACTGTGATTGATGAATAGTTGCCTTGGAGCTTTGATTACTTAATTGGTTTGATAGCAGCCACAGCAAAGTATTTATCCATTTTTAATTCAATTATAAACATGAATTAGCTATTTTTAAATTAAATTAAACTTGTTTTGCATTTTGAAATTGTAATTTATTTTTAAATAAAAGCTACACATTTGCAATTTTGGTTCAATTTCCTTGGCTGGCTATTTTTGTGGTTTCCTCGATAGTTTTGTTTTATCTTGTTTAGAAAATATTTAGGACTCTAACTGTTGAGATAAAAAGATTACATTCTGTCAATTCTGGAAAACTACTTTCTACTTTAGGAGAAACTTCTAAAGGTTTAATTTTGATCAGATCTTTTAATAAATAAAAATACATTATGAAGGAATTTTTAGAGAGATTAAATGAAAATATTAATAGCAATGTAATTAATTAGGCTTTGTAGATTTGGATGTCTATTAGATTATTATTTATAAGCAATTTGATTTTTATATCTGTCGCTATTACTCATATAATGTTGCTATTCTCAAATTACGAAATTGAATATACTACTGTAGCTATGTGCATTACATATTCTATGCTATTTTCATAGCGTTTTACAGAAGTCGTTCGTTTCTTTTCTTATGTCGAAATAAATATTGTATCTGTTGAGCGTATTAGATAATATTTTAATAATAAGTAAGAAGATTTAGAAGAAATTTAAAATAGAGAAGATATTTAAATGAATTAACTACTAGAAATTAAAATTTAGGAAATAAAACATATTTAAGAAGATAGCTAGGAAATAACTAAAAAAGTTTTAAAAGATGATAATGTTGTTATAGAATTTGAAGATGTATGGCTAAGCTATGACCATGATCTTAATGAGAATTATGATTCCTAGAATTTAAATAAGGATATCAGTTTTGCTTTGAAGGGCATTTCAATTTAAATTAAAAAAGGAGAAAAAATTGCGTTTTGTGGTAGAACAGGATCTGGAAAAACTTCTATATTGAATGTATTGTTTAGAATGTATCCAATATAACATGGTAGTATATTTTTCAAAGGAAAGAAAATCTAAAGCTATTCACTAAAATCTCTTAGGTCTTAGATGTCTGTGATTCCATAATTTGGTTTTATATATAATGCTACTTTAAAAGATAACATTGATCCTGAAGATAAAATATGTACTGAAGAGATTCAAGAAAAACTACAAAACACTAATTTGAACATCTAAAAACATGAAATTAAAAAAACCTAAAAGCAAGAAAGATAGAGTTAAGAAGAATTTTAAGAAGAAGAAATGAAATTTATCAGCTCGTCATAATAAGATGAATTACCTAAATAAAATTAAATAAACATAGACTTTGAAATTAAAGAAGGAGGATCTAATTTATCAAATGGTGAAAAATAGATCGTAAATTTCTTTAGAATTATAATGAGAGAAACTGAAATAATTTGTTTGGATGAAGCCACTTCAAACATGGATCCAAAGACAGATTAAGAGATACATAAATAAATTTTTCAATTTGCTAGTGATAAAACATTAATTGTGATAACACACAGGTTAGAAAATATTGACTAATTCGATAGAGTAGCAGTACTTGATGAAGGTAGAATAGTTGAATGTGGTAGAGTTACAGATTTAAGATAAATTTAAGGAGGTTTCTTTAACAAACTAATTAATGATAAATAAAAAAGTTAAAATAAATGTTGACTTAATTGAAATAATTTATCATTCTTGCTTAATACAAGAAATAAATAAATAAAATTTATAAAAAATTAATTGATTTTATAAATAAAAAACGTATATCATTTATATATTTTAATTGAACCTCTTTTTTAATTTTGATGAACCATTTATATAAAAATTAAAAACAAATTATTAATTTTTTAAGTTACTCCAGCCGAAAAAAAAAAAATCAAATTTGGACACTGTTTATGATTCCTGGTTAAATTCATTTAAACAAAAGGATAACGTATCAAAAAAAGAATTGTAGAATCTAATTAAGCTAATTTATGAAGAGGTGAATAATTTAAATAGCATTTATCTTCTTCAATTATTGTTTGTAAATGAGAAAATATATTTAAAATAGATTAAATAGCTTATATTTTATATCTTTTTTGATTTAATCTTTTTTTTATTTTTTCAAAAATTATTTGAATTGAAGAAATTTAATCTAACAAAAGAAGAAATTTGTTTTTAGTAGCTGCTTATAAATTTATTAATAATTTATTTCATATTTTTAAATTTTTTAATTCATGAATTTACTAAAAGTTTGATCATAATTTTGAATTGAATTTTTAAATCATATTAATAAATAAATAAATAAATAAATAAATAAATAAATAAATAAGAAAATTAAATGGGAAAAAACTAAAGCAAGTAAAAGAATTTAGTTTAAAATAATAGCAAAAAATAAAATGAATTATTGCTTGAAGATCATTAAAAAATAATTAATATGATAGAAAAAAAATATAAATCTTACTTAAATATTTAGTTTTACGCTTAAGATAAATATTCATTAGCCCTAAAAGCAACAAATAAAAAGAATAATTAAGCTTTAATTCTCTTGGTTTCTTAGTATAATGATTATTAACTCCTTAAAAATAGCAAATATTTAGTGCTTGATCAAACCTATAATTAATTATTTCCTGAAGATAATTCTTAAGTTTTAAATACATTCCAAATTTCTGAATCTAAACCTAATTTAAGTTGTGGTTTAGCTAAAAATTCTAATATTAATAATCAAAAGTACTTTCTCTAATAAATTAAATTTACAGATTTTTCCTTATCACTAAAATAAAAAGCAACAATTAAAAAAGCATTACTTTAAGATGTAAATTTTTAATAATTCTAATACATACATACATTCATACATAATTTTGATAAATATTATTTTTAGTTGGAGGATAATCATCATTTAGTTTAATAAGTTCAAGCAGTGATAAAGTAAATTTATAAATCTTCATTATTTATTTATTTATTTATTTATTTTAACTATTTTTTTTGTAGCGGTCCTGATAAACCATTTAAATATGTTGAATGGTGTAATGGCATAACGTCTAAAATATCAAAATGTGTCAATATGGAATCTTTTGAAGTTATTTTTCAGTATTTAGTTTTTATAAAAAGGAATTTATTATATTTTGAATTTATTAAAGGGAGGAATTTTAAGGAAAATCTTTATTTTCTCATCTCGCTTCTGCTTTAAGTAATTGTTAATTTCTAATCAGAATCAGCTTGAATTTAAATTAGTATTTATTTATTATCTTTGAATTAATAAAAGAGATAATTTTTATTTTAATTTAATAAATTTAGATGTTCTAAAATAAAAATTGAGGATCTATGTTGTTTTATTTAAGCAATTATCAATTTTCCTAATGTTTCTTCTTTTTGCTTAAATTTAAGGTAATTATTTCAAAAATAAACAAATTAGTTAATAATTAATTTATTGATTAATCAATGATTTTTTAGCTAGCAGATTATTGAAAATGAAGATATTGAATTATTAGGGAAGACTCTATCTTAATTTACATAATTAGAAATATTTGAACTTAATTGTGAGTAAGTATTTAAAAAGTAGTATTTTGTTTTATTTATCAAATAAAAAAAGAAATTCAAATATAGATGACAAAAATATTGTTTACTTTAGTGAGATATTTACAAACTGCAAGCTGATTAAAAATTTAAACTTAAATCTGAAGTATTTAATGTATAATTTTATCAAAATTAATTTTTATTGTTAGAAAAAATAGCTTATGCAATTCTGGAATCATACAGTTAGGCTAAAAGATAAACAAATGTGAAAATCTAAAACATCTAAATTTAAATCTTTAGTAAAAAAAATATTTTTCATTAATTTATATAATTTTTTTAAACATGAAACATCTTTAAAAGTTAATTTGAAAAAAATAATTTTATATTCTTGTAAAATATTTCAAACTATATCTTAGTGCTAATTCTCTACTAGAGGAGAGTGTATTAGGAATTACTTTTGCTATTAAAAACAAGAACCTGATTTCTTTACAATTAGAATTTTCGTAAATAATTTAATTTTTTAATTTAAAAGTTTAATTCAGTTTATAATTTCCAAAGAATTAATATTTTAGGTGATGTTGGAATAAATAATCTATGCAATGCTATTTCTAAATGTGCTACACTTAAAAAGCTGTTCTTAGATTTCTGGTAAAACGATTTAATGAAATAAAAAATACAATGAATAATTTTTATAAAGTTATAATAACATTTCATAAGAAGGAGTGAAATAATTAGGAAGAGATTTTATTTAATTGACTAATTTAAGCAATTTAACATTGAAATTAGAGTATTTATTTTTAATTATTTTATTATGATTTTTAAATTAAAGATAAATTTAAATAAATAAATAAAAGCTGGAATATCATTTTATTTGAAGGAGCAAAATTTTTAATTGATAATCTTAAATAAGTTAGAAATATAAATATTTTGCATTTGAGTCTTATGTAAATAAATATTCTCTTTTTCAAAATATTTATTCAAAAATAATCAAAAATATTTAAAAGATAAAACTCTATCGATCAAAAGCATTTTTTAAATATTCAATAAAAAATTAAGAAATTTAAAAGACTAGTTAATCGTATAATAAAGCTAACAGTTTATGACTGAATGACTGACTGAATTACTTACTGAATTAATAATAAATTATAAAAGAATTGATAAAAATCAATAAATAAAAATGAATTGTTTTTATGCTTAGAATATTGTAAAAAATAATAAATATTAAAATTTTATATTCAAAACTAAAAAATGATTTTTATTACCTATACTAAAATCCCATGCATTTTTTACAAGCCTAGCTATTTAATGCTCAATAAATAATAAATATAAATATTTAATTGATTAAAAAATATTTGGGAATAGTTCTATTAATCAAAAAAATACAAAAGGGAGCTTGGCTTTTTTTTTTTCTATAGATCAAAAATAAAAATTATAAGATTAAATTAATAGGAAGGTATTTATTTATTTTCAAATTTTGTAAAAAGTTAAAATTCTTTGTTACCATGAGATGAAACAGGGCATAATGTATCTTCAGGGCTTAAACAGGAGGGGGTTTTTTGTTTAAATTATCTTAAGATATGCAAACTATTATATATACTGACTGACCACTATGTCTCCTATAATTTTATAGAAGATGAAGGTTATATCCATTATTAAATTAATCACTAAAAACGATTTTGATAAGGAAAAGACACTCACTACTAATCATATTGAGTAAGTATGGCCATAATTAAAAAACAATTCAAATTTTCAATATATTATATTAAAACATATATTCTATTATTAAAACATTTATATAATATTTATTCATCCTTTTTTTGCCACTTGTTTATCATTAGAATTTTTTTTCAAAGACAACTAATCTTTTTGATTTAAGACACTTGTTTATTACTTTGAATCTTTATGATTTATTTATTTAGTTATATCTTTTATAAATAAATTTGTGTAAATTTTAAATATTAAATTAAATAAACTTTTAAATTAAAAGTAAAATAATATTAGTAAAATAAAAAGATAATAAAAAAAAATCAAATAAAAGCTAACAAATAAATTCAAAGCGCTTTTTTGTTTTATTTTCATTTTTATAGTTAAAAATATAACATCCTAAAACAAATAAACTGTTTTTACCTAAAATCAAGTGTCAAATTTGAGAGAATAATGCAATTTACAAAAGTAGAGGCTAAACTTATTGCTCCCACTATACCAATTTAATTGATCCTTTTTAAATATTGAAGAAAAATTATATAATTAAATAGTAAATTAGAAGGAAAAAATGAAGAAATAATATGTAATAATAGGATCAATTAATAATAATAAAAGCAAAGTTTGAAAATAAAATAATAAGTGAGTTAAATTAACAAATAAATAGGAAGAAAAAAATAGCAACTTTATTGTTTTAAATTAGTTTTTATAATTAAAAATAATCCAAAGCAAATAAACTGTTTTTACTTAAGATCAAGCATTAAATTTGAGAGATTAATGCATTTTACTAATGCAGAACCTAATCCTGATGCACCTATTGCACCAATTTAATTGTTACTTTTTAAATATTGAAGAAAACATATAAAATTAAAAAGTTAATTAGAAGGAAAAAATGAAGAAAAAATAAGAAAAAATAAAATTAATTAATAATAAAAGCAAAGTTTAAAAATAAAATGATTAGTTGTTAAATTAACAGAGAAAATAAAAAAAAGCAAGCACAATAAAAAGAAATAAAAAGATAAAGAAAAAAGAGCTTTATTATTTTCAATTAGTTTTATAATTAAAAATATCATAATCCAAAACAAAACAGATAAACTGTTTTTACCGAAGATCAATTGCCAAATTTGAGAGATTAATGCAATTTGCTAAAGCAGAACCTAAACCTGACACACCTTCGTCACCAATTTAGTTGTTACTTTTTAAATATTGAAGAAAAAATATATCATTAAATAGTTAATTAGAAGGAAAAAATGAAGAAAAAATATGAAATGATAAGATGAATTAATAATAAAAGCAAAATTTGAAAATGAAATGACGATGAGTAGTTAAATTAAAAAACAAAGAGAAAAAAAAGTAAGCACAATAAAAACAAAAAGAAAAAAAATCTTTATTATTTTAAATTAGTAATTATTATTAAAAATATCACAATTAAAAACAAATAAACTGTTTTTACCAATGACCAAGCGTTAAATTTGAGAGATTAATGCAATTTGCTAAACCAGAACCTAAGCCTAATGCACCCATTGCACCAATTTAATTGTCACTATTTAAATATTGAAGAAAATTCATTAGAAGGAAAAAATGAAGAAAACATATAAAATAATAAAATCTAAAGCTGTAAAAAAAATGATAAGTTTTTAAATTTTTAAAGATATAAGAAAAAAAGCAAATAAAATAAAAAGAATAAGAAAAAAGAGCTTTATTGTTATAAATTAGTTTTTATAATTCAAAATAATCCAAAGCAAATAAACTATTTTTACCGAAGATCAAGTGTCAAATTTGAGAGATTAATGCATTTTGTTAATGCAGAGCCTAAGCCTGATGCACCCATTGGACCAATTTAATTGCCACTTTTTAAATATTGAAGAAAACAAACATATAAAATTAAATAGTTAACAAGAAGGAAAAAATGAAGAAAAAATATAAAATAATAAGATTAATTTATTAATAATAAAAGCAAAATTTGAAAATAAAATGATGAGTTAAATTAACTAAGAAAGAATAAAAAAACAAGTAAGCATAATAAAAAGAAAAAGAAAAAAGTGCTTTTATTGTTTTAAATTAGTTTTTATATTTAAAAATATCACAATCCAAAACAAATAAACTGTTTTTACAGAAGATCAAGTGTCAAATTTGAGAGATTAATGCAATTTGCTAAACCGGAACCTATGCTTGATGCACCCACTGCACTAATTTAATTGAACCTTTTTAAATATTGAAGAAAAGAAAAATAATTAAATGGTTAATTAGAAGGAAGAAATGAAGAAATAACATGATTACTTAATAATAAAAGCAAATTTAAATATAAAATTATGAGCTAAATTAACAAAGAAACAAAAAAAGAAGTAAGCAAGCAAGCACAATAAAAATAAAAATAAAAAAAGAGCTTTAATGTTTTAAATTAGTTTTTATAATTAAAAATATCATACATAATCCAAAACAAATAAACTATTTTTACTAAAAATTTAGTGTCAAATTTGAGAGATTAATGCAATTTGCTAAAGCAGAATCTAAGACTGATGCACCTTTATCACCAATTTAATTTTAACTTTTTAAATATTGAAGAAAAAATAAATCATTAAATAGTTAATTAGAAGGTAAAAATGAATAAAAAATATGAAATAATAAGATTAATAAAAAATAAAAGTTGTTAAATAAAAAAGAAAGAAGAAAAAAAAGCAAGCAAGCACAATAAAAAGAAAAAAGAGTCTTATTATCTTAAATTAGTTTTTAAAAATATCACAATCCAAAACAAAGAAACTCTTTTTACCCAAGGTAAAGTGTCAAATTTGAGAGATTAATACAATTTACTAAAGCAGAACCTAAGACTGATGCACCTTCATCACCAAAATAATTGTCACTTTTTAAATATTGAGAAAAAATGTATCATTAAATAGTTATTTAGAAGGAAAAATGAAGAATAAATATGATATAATCAAATTTATTAATAAAAAAAGCTAAATTTAAAAATAAAATGATAAATTAGCAATGAAAGAAAGAAAAAAAGCGAGCACAATAAAAAGAGTAAGAAAAAATAATTTTATTTTTTAAATTAATTTTTATAATTAAAAATATCACAATCCAAAACAAACAAACTCTTTTTACCCAAGGTAAAGTTTCAAATTTGAGAGATTAATACAATTTACTAAAGCAGAACGGTCGAGGGTCGAGGGTCGAGGGTCGAGGTTTTATTTGTCTATTCTAACTTTTCTAATAAATTCTGAGTAAGTCAAAAAATAAAAAATAAAAATATAAACACATTTAAATTTATATAACTATTATAAAACTAATTGTTTAAGATGTATTCTGAGTGCATATTTATGTGCGAGTATTCTATTCTATTCTACCACCAATTTAATTGCCACTTTTTAAATATTAAAGAAAAATATATAATTAAATAGTTAATTAGAAGGAAAAAACGAAGAAAAATATGAAGTAATAAGATTAATTAATAAAAAAAGCAAAATTTGAAAATAAAATGATGAGTTTTTAAATTAACAAAGAAATAAGAAAAAAAGCAAGCACAATAAAAAGATAGAGAAAAAATAGCTTAATTGTTTTAAATTAGCTTTAATTATTAAAAATAATCTAAAGCAAATAAACTGTTTTTACCGAAGATCTAGTGTCAAATGTGAGACATTAATGCAATTAGATAAACCAGAACCTATGTCTGATGCACCCAATGCACCAATTTAATTGAACCTTTTTAAATATTTAAGAAAAGATAAGTAATTATATGGTTTATTAGAAGGAAGAAATGAAGAAAAAATAAGAAATAACATGATTAATTAATAATAAAAGCAAAATTTAAAAATAAAATTATGAGTTAAATTAAAAAAGAAAGAAGAAAATAAAGCAAACAATATAAAAAGAAAAAGAAAAAAGGGCCTTATTTTTTTAAATTAATTTTTATATTTAAAAATATCACAATCCAAAACAAATAAACTGTTTTTACTAAAGTTTAAGTGTCAAATTCGAGAGATTATTGCAATTTGCTAAAGCAGAACTTAAGCCTGAAGCACCCATTGCACCAATTTAATTTTGACTTTTAAATATTGAAGAAAAAATATAAAATTAAATAGTTAATTAGAAGGAAAAAATGAAGAAATACTATGAAATAATAGGATTAATAAAAAATAAAAGCAAAAGTTGAAAAAAAAATGATGAGTTGTTAACATTACAGAGAAAGAATAAAAAAAAACAAACAAATAAACTGTTTTTACCCAAGATCAAGTGTCAAATTCGAGATATTAATGCAATTCACTAAACCAGAACCTAAGCCTGATGCGCCTTCATCTTCAATTGAATTGTCACTTTTTAAATATTGAAGAAAATAAATTTAATTAAATAGTTAATAAGAAGGAAAAAATGAAGAAAAAAAATTAAATAATAATATTAATTAATAAAATAAGCAAAAGTTCAAAATAAAATTATGAGTTGTTAAACTAACAAAGAAATAAGAAAAAAAGCTAGCACAATAAAAAGAGTAAGAAAATAGAGCTTTATTGCTTTAAATTAGTTTTTATATTTAAAAATATAACAATCCAAAATAAATATATTATTTTTACCCAAGGTCAAGTGTCAAATTCGAAAGATTAACACAGTTTACTAAAGCAGAAGCTAAATCTGAGGCACCTTAATCATCAATTAAATTTTCACTTTTTAAATATTGAAACAAATAATAAATTAGAAGGAAAAAATGAAGAAAAAACATGAAATAATAAAAGCAAAAGTTGAAAATAAAATAACTAGTTAAACTAACAAAGAAATAAGAAAAAAAAGCAATCACAATAAAAAGAGTAAGAAAAAAGAGCTTTATTGTTTTAAATTAGTTTTTATAATTAAAAATATCACAATCCAAAACAAATAAACTATTTTTACCGAAGATCAAGTGTCAAATTTGAGAGATTAATGCAATTTGCCAAAGCATAACCTAAGCTTAATGCACCTTCATTCCAAATTTAATTGCACCTTTTTAAATATTGAAGAAAAAATATATCATTAAATAGTTAATTAGAAGGAAAAAATGAAGAAATAATACGAAATAATAAGATTAATTAATTAGTAATAAAAGCAAAAGTTTAAAATAAAATGATGAGTTGTTAAATTAGCAAAGAAAGAAAGAAAGAAAGAAAGAAAGAAAGAAAGAAAGAAAGAAAGAAAGAAAGAAAGAAAGAAAGAAAGAAAGAAAGAAAGAAAGAAAGAAAAAAAGCAAGCACAATAAAAAGAAAAAGAAAAAAAGAGCTTCATTGTGCTAAATTAATTTTTTTATATTTAGAAATATCACAATCCAAAATAAATAAACTGTTTTTACCTAAGTTTAAGTGTCAAATTTGAGAGATTAATGCAATTTGCTAAAGCAGAACCTAAGTCTGATGCAACTTCATCATCAATTTATTTTTCACTTTTTAAATATTGAAGAAAAAATATATAATTAAATAGTTAATTAGAAGGAAAAAATGAAGAAAAAATATGAAATAATAAGATGAATTAATAATAAAACCAAAAGTTGAAAAATTTAAATTAACAAAAAATGAAAAAAAGCAAGCAAAATAAAAAGAAAAGGAAAATAGATCAAATAAATTAAATGAACTCTAATGTTTTAAATTAATTTTATAATTAAAAATATTACAATCTAAAACAAATAAATTGTTTTTATCAAGTGTAAATGTTAAAAGCAAAAAATGAAGGGAAAATATAAAAATAATAAAAAATGAGTAATAAATAATTAAAAATTAAGTTAAAATAGCTCAAAAATTTTTGTTTCTAATAAAAATCGAATCAATTAATTAGAAAAATAATTTTTTTAAATCAATAGAAAGTTAAATTTACAAAAAATATTAGTAATTACTAATAAAAATAATATTTATAAATTAAATATACGTCAGATCAATATGGAGAACCTCATGAGATAAAAGTGAAGAGTTTAAAAACTTTTTTTATTAATATTTATAAATTTAAAGGATATTAATAAATTAATAAATAATTACTTCTTTTAATCTTTTGTAATATTTAATCTATTATATCATTTATTTTTTTTCTTCTAAAATATTGAAAAGCTAATTATGGATTTTAATTAATTAATTATAAATGGATAAAAAGAACAAATAAAATTTAATAATTAATTAATTATCAAAAATTAATATATAAATTTGCTATTAAGAAGAGATAAACAGAAAAATTAATTTAGTATTATTTATTTAATCTTAATATTGTATTTAAAATATTTTTTTTAAAATATAATAGGAATTAGAGATGGGCACGCAGTTAGTTAGTCATATTTGAAATAAATCTCGTAATTAATTAAAAAGTGATTGACGATAGCCTTATAAATATAGCTCGATACTTGATCTTTGCGGATAATATTAATATATATATAATACTAGCTTATCATATTTATTTACTAAACAATAATAAAATCTATCTATCTATCTATGTATTAATATTTTAAGTTAAAAAAACTTTTGCAAAATAAAAATATTATAAAATAAAACAAACTTATATTATTCAATTATTCAAATAATTAATATTTATTAATCCTTTTTTTTTACAATTGCTTATCATCAGAAATATTTTTTAAAGACAACTAATCTTTTTGATTTAAGACACTTGCTTTTTACTTTGAATTATAATGATTCTTTCATTTAGTTATAACTTTAATAATAAATTTGTGTAAATTTTAAATAAATATTAAATAAAATATGCTTTTAAACTATAAATTATTTCTGAAATTAATAAATAAATAAAATAACATTAGTGAAATAAAAAAGATAAAAGAATAAATCAAATAAAAGCTATCAAATAAATTCAATGAGCTTTTTTGTTTTATATTTAAAAATATCACAATCCAAAACAAATAAATTGTTTTTACTAAAATTAAAGTGTCAAATTTGAGAGATTAATGCAATTTGCTAAAGCAGAACCTAAGCCTAATGCACCTTCATCACCAATTTAATTGTTCCTTTTTAAATATTGAAGAAAAAATATATTATTAAATAGTTAATTAGAAGGAAAAAATGAAGAAAAAATATGAAATAATCAGATTAATTAATAAAAAAAGCAAAATTTGAAAATAAAATGATGAGTTATTAAATTAAAAAACAGTGAAAAAAATCCAAGCATAGTAAAAAGAAAAAGAAAAAAGAACCTTATTGATTTATTTAAATTAGTTTTTATATTTAAAAATATTGCAATCCAAAACAAATAAACTATTTTTACCCAAGGTAAAGTAACAAATTTGAGAGATTAATGCAATTTGCTAAAGCAGAACCTAAGCCTGATACACCCACTGCACCAATTTAATTATCACTTTTTGAATATTGAAGAAAAAATATATAATTTAAAAGTTAATTAGAAGGAATAAATGAAGAAAATATTATCAATAAGATAAATTAATAATAAAAGCAAAATTTGAAAATAAAATAACGTGTTGTTAAATTAAAAAAAAATGAAAAAAAAGCAAGCACATTAAAAATAAAAATAAAAAAGAACCTTATTGTTTTAAATTAGTTTTTATATTTAAAAATATCTCAATCCAAACAAATAAACTGTTTTTACCAAAGATTAAGTGCCAAATTTGAGAGATTAATACAATTTGCTAACGCAGAACCTAAGCCTAATGCACCTTTATTACCAATTTAATTGTTCCTTTTAAAATATTGAAGAAAAAATATTAAACCAAATAGTTAATTAGAAGGAAAAATGAAGAAAAAATGAGTTTAATTAATAATAAAAGCAAAAGTTGAAAAAAAAGGATGAGTTGTTAAATTAACAAAATGAAAAAAAAAGCAAGCACAATTAAAAGAAAAAGAAAAATGAGTCTTATTGTTTTAAATTAGTTTTTATATTTAAAAATATCACAATCGAAAACAAATAAACTGTTTTTACCAAAGACTAAGAGTCAAATTTGAGAGATTAATGCAATTTGCTAAAGCAGAACCTAAACCTAATGTACCTTCATCACCAATTAAATTCTTCCTTTTTAAATGAAGAAAAAATATAGAATTAAATAGTTAATAAGAAGGAAAAATGAACAAAAAATAAGTTTAATTAATAATAAAAGCAAAAGTTGAAAATAAAATGATTAGTTGTTAAATTAACAAAAATGAAAAAAAAGCAAGCATAGTTAAAAGAAGAAAATAAAGATCCTTATTTTTTTATAGTAGTTTTTATATTTAAAAATACCACAGACCAAAACAAATAAACTGTTTTTACATAATGTGAAG